TTGACAGTTCGTTTGTGTTTCTTCCATTTGTGAATAATCGCACCAACTGTTGTCACCTTCTCACCAAGCTGCTTGGCAATGGTCTTGTAGCCCATTCCAGCCTTGTGTAGGTCTACAATCTTGTCCCTGACATCCTTGGAGAGCTCTTTGGTCTTGGCCATGGTGGAGAGTTTGGAATCTGATTGATTGCTTCTATGGACAGGTGTCTTTTATACAGGTAACAAGCTGAGATTAGGAGCACTCCCTTTAAGAGTGTGCTCCTAATCTCAGCTCGTTACCTGTATAAAAGACACCTGGGAGCCAGAAATCTTTCTGATTGAGAGGGGGTCAAATACTTATTTCCCTCATTAAAATGCAAATCAATTCATAACATTTTTGACATGCGTTTTTCTGGGTTTTGTTGTTATTCTGTCTCTCACTGTTCAAATAAACCTGCCATTAAAATTATAGACTGATCATTTCTTTGTCCGTGGGCAAACGTACAAAATCAGTAGGGGATCAAATACTTTTTTCCCTCACTGTATATGTTTTGTGTCTGTGGCTTTGTGTATTGCCTGCACAAGGTTGTAATAGTACACCGTGTTTTCTCACTAATTGTAATTCAATTGAATATGGTTTCACATTGAGATTTAAATATATTTTGTTCGGACGATTGTGGAATATCTGACATTGATGGCGTTTTCATCTCAAAGGCTCCCTCCCCTCTACGTGAGCAAAATGAGACTTTCCACCGCTTTGTAGTCTTCTGACTCGATAAAGTGCACGACAAATACCATTTACTCTTTGTTGAGTTGCCCAAGGCCAGGAAAAATGTTCAAACTCGATTTATTTTTTCACATCGAGTCTTCAAAAAAACCTTGAAAGCTTTCGAGTGAGGCTTTGTAGTCGACATAATTATTTTTGATTATTATTTTATTACAGTAATCTGTCATAATGTTCATCTCAAACCATGACCATATCTGCGGTTAATTATTGGCCAGTACAGTACAATTTTTCTGTGGTGGCATCTGCTCTGTGAAGCCAAGCATGGTTGAGCCTGGCTAGTTATTTGTCTTGGTAACTGCCTGTAAATACCTTAGGCTACAATATTGCGAAGAAATTACAGTGCAAAAATGCATTTAGAATCCATTTGTGTGGAGCTTTTAGTGGATTTTCTCTAGGTATTGTGTTTTTCTCCCACATTCTAAGCACTCACAAATGGAATTGGCCAAACATCCCAGTACAGGACCACATATCAAACGATCAAAAGTGAGGATGTAATGGGTAACTAAAGGGCATTGTTAGAACTAAAGTGATTGTTCTATGGAGAGACTGGCACTCCTCATGTTAATGTGGAATTTCCACCATTGGCTCATGGCTGCTAACAGTAATAAGCGTTACCCCAATGCGTGTTTGAGCATGGAGACACTGATTATAACCATGAAAATGGCCATACAAATCCATAATGGCATCAGATAGTATGTGGTTTCCCGGCATGATGCACTTCTAGGATTTACAAATATACTTTGTGTGAGTGTATTAGTACAATCTTGTTTAATACAATAATCAGCAGACAAGGGTCTGTTTCATAAGGCCAAGTTCATGCTCCGTTTCAATTACCTGAGTCTCATCAGCAAAGTGTGGCCTGTTGCACACTGCTGGGTTGCCTGCTGTTATCAGCAAGGACACTGGCTGAACACAAGGGGAGAAATTTGGATCAGTGATCGTAAATGTGTACAAAATTGATGGGCATAGGCCGATAGACTATTAACATTTGTTTTTATTTTCACATGGTGAAATATAGCTATGTCTTTATTACTTTAACACCCACATGTCACCAAAATGCAACGACGCCAATGTATTTAAACACAGGTAGTCACAAGGGGGAAACAGTGGTGCAGTGGTTAGCACATTGCACTGCGAATCCACGACCAGAGTTTTAATCCCGATCTTGTCTCACATGACTGGAGAGTGGTACGTGAACTGGTTTGGGGAACCCCCCCCCCCCCGCCTTCACCAACACGCACTGACCAGCGTGTGGTGAAGTATGGTAAAATTACCCCATGACCGACCAGGCGTGGGGGGAGGCCTTTATCCAGCAGTGGGGTTGACAAAAAGCTGCATGTATTTGTTTACAAGTGTACGGGAGTTGTTGTTAGTGATTGGCAGGGGGTGGCCTATGGATGTGCAGCGCTTCAAAGCTCACCTTCAGTGGCTTGATCTGCTGTAACATTTCAATTATAAAACGCTTTGTGAAGTGTGGGAGTAAGTTCAGCACAGAATGTTATTAGCCTAAGGAAATGTTTTAACTTTTATGTCCTTTATGTAATGATGCATCGATCGTTCGACTAAAATAGATTCTTACATTCGCAATACAAAAATCATGCGTGTGAGAAATGTTTTTTTACGATTTTAGAAAATGCTTTAATATGCCTATGTTACATGTAGGCTAATGGAGCGAACAAACCTATACAGTTATACAACAAAGGGAATAATCAATATAAATGAGACGGTGAAAAGGAGGCAAAATTGTAACTGCTTTAATTGAATCGTCACTCCCAATCATGAGAATTAAATCAATTGGTGTGGGGCTCAGTTGTTGTACAATTTTGTGCCCTACTAGACACTAACTCATAGTTATTTTTTTTTATGTGGACGTATGTACAAGATTATTTACGGGTTTTATTATAAACACTATGGTGTAATTTGGTTTATTAGAGCTCATTAATATTTATTAACTCACGTCGACGTAACACCTCTGTTATGATTACATACTGGCAGATGATTAAAAAAATATGTAATTCATATAAAAATGTTACCGTTTATTTCTGCTCAAATTAAGATGCAGTGGCACCGTCTGTTGACCGCTCTCCAACGGTGGTGTAAAGTCAAAAGAAGATGATTGAGGTCAACTGCTATTGGCGTGCAATAAAAACGGACTCGTTTTTACTACCATTGGGAGATGATGTGCCAAGTCCCATCTGTGAAGAGTATTTTAATGAAAGGAGTGACCTTCTGATTGTGAGGTTAGAGCTCTGCGAGGTGGATATTTTGGATATTAATTTAATGTAATTTTATAATTGTAAATGTGGCTGGTGAATAGCTCGCGATGCAGTATACGCAGTATTTAACTCTTTATACTCACGATGCATGCAGTCCTCTCGTGTCCACCTTTCATCAGAATGTACGCATTGCTAATTTACTGCAGAAATGTATATTACAAATTACTACACACCTGTCCTTAAAATCAAGCAATCAATGTCGGCCCGCTTTTCCGAACTGAATGGGGTCGCGGGGGGCAGCGCCTCCACCAAAGCCTTCCATCCTGCCCTTAAAATACAAAAATAAATATAAAAATGAAGTTATTTCTCTTGTAAAGAACTCTTACGCACGTTCTGCGACGTGTTCACGAGCTGTGCCGCGCGGCGCCCGGCACGACACAAGGTCGGAGGAAGGTCGCAGAGAGCAACGCTCAGAGCCCGGCAAGCAGCAGCAGCAGCAACTCGGGCGCATTGACATTAGCAGGCGAGTTTTACCAGCAGAAACCACGTGCCGCACTCGTGGTGCACGAGCTGAATCTAATTTAAAGCCTCAAAGTGCAGCCACGACCGTCCCTGCCCTGCATCTGTGCTGCTGGCGAGGGCTGCCGTGGGCAGGGGTGGTGAGTGCGTGTGGGTGTGTGGAGCACTTGGGGGGGGGGTGGTGAGTGTGGGTGTGTGTGGATGTGTGTGGGTGTGTGGATGTGCGGGTGTGAACATTGTCACCCGTCCACCTCGTGTGCTGTGGCGGCCTTCATAGGTTTCCACTTGCTCACAGCACGTACCCCAACAGTCTGCTCAGACTTTACGTGAGTTCTGTCTTTTGTGAGTCTACATTTATGGTTGTGGTGGTAAAGTATATGGATGGATGTTTTTTGCATGCGAATGGAAGGTCGTATGAGGGTGGGTGTTTTATGCGTGGTATGTTTGTATGTGTGTGTATCTTGTTGCATAGTTGTATGTGGGTGTGGTTGTGTGCGTGGCTTGGTATCTGTGTATAATGTATTATTTAATAATTTACAACACTTTGTCAATGACACTGCTGGATTATGGTCTGCTCATTCCATGTGCGTCATTGGGGTTGATCGTCAGGCCACGATCAGTGGTGGATATCTCACAGTTATTCGCCAAGACTGGCTCAGCCTTAAATGAGTACTTGGTGCGGTGTGTAAACATCGCCACGAGAGAGACAAAAGCGGCCTGTCTTCACTTGCCCCAACAGTCTGTTGAGGCTATCTGGAGGATCTTTGTCTTGATTTTGTGTGTGTGGTGAGGTGGTGCTGTGCCATAACCCGACTGAAGTGTTGAAGCCACTGTGAGCACACGCGTCCACTGCTGATGTCACCTGCAAGCCAGTCGCCAGGGCGACGGGCGTGTGTGTGCTGGGGATGGGTGTGTGTGCTGGGTGTGTGTGCTGGGGATGTGTGTGTGTGCTGGGTGTGTGTGCTGGGTGTGTGTGCTGCTTGCTGGGGATGGGTGTGTGTGCTGGGTGTGTGTGCTGCTTGCTGGGGATGGGTGTGTGTGCTGGGTGTGTGTGCTGGGTGTGTGTGCTGGGTGTGTGTGCTGGGTGTGTGTGCTGGGTGTGTGTGCTGGGTGTGTGTGCTGGGTGTGTGTGCTGCTTGCTGGGGATGGGTGTGTGTGCTGGGTGTGTGTGCTGGATGTGTGTGCTGCGTGCTGGGGCTGGGTGTGTGTGCTGCGTGCTGGGGCTGGGTGTGCTGCGTGCTGGGGCTGGGTGTGTGTGCTGGGCGTGCGTGCTGCATGCTAGGGGTGGGTGTGTGTGCTGGGTGTGTGTGCTGGGTGCTGAGGATGGTGGGTGTGTGCTGGATGTGGTTGCTGGGTGTGTGTGCTGCGTGCTGGGGCTGGGTGTGTGTGCTGGGTGTGTGTGCTGGGTGCTGGGGATGGTGTGTGTGTGTGTGCTGGATGTGGTTGCTGGGTGTGTGTGCTGCGTGCTGGGGATGCACCACCACCATCTGCTGCTGCTGCACCCTCGGGTGCGGTGCTACCAAGTGGCCTTCAAAATAAAGGCCTCGCCTAATCACGCCCTTCCACACTGCTTAGCTTTGGTAGAGAATTTTTTGGGAAAGGATTAGGACAATTTAAAGTGTCATTTCATCATCGTGAAAACTTGATGTAATGCGCTCTGTTGGGCCTTTAGCAGAAGATAAGCAGCAATTTTTAATCACAATTACACACGTTCGTGTACGTGTGCAATTATACGCGCGCACAATGCACTGTAAATATACATTTCTGCTTCGGCAAAGGGAAAATAAAATACCGTAAAATGATACAATATTTGTTTTTTAATCGGAAAGCATTGTAGTTTGACATTCAATATGAAAATGACATTGCGGTATTTAGGTTGTTTCGCTTAATCCAAATACATCTGTATCCTTGCGTGACAAGGTTGATTTTAACCAATTATTGTCTATTTAAATTAATACTTTACAAGGAGATACTACAACTAGCCTTTTAGAAACCTACTTGCTGTACTATCTCAATGAGGCATCCTGTTACCCAACAGCTGGATTGACATCCAAGACACTGACACTGAAAATATAGCTGCTGCTAAACATGCATACGGAAGACGGTTGCATCTCGACTGCAGGGTCATGGGTTAAATCCCAGTCGCACAGAGGGCCGGGCGAAATGCTCACCACCTACTGTGTTGTGGGCACTAAAGATCCCGTGACAACATTTACAAGAGCACGTCTTGTATTCCCAATGTGTAAATTAATCACAGTTGTTTTACCGGTTCTTTGGTCGGTGCGCTTTTCAAATCTAGGAATCGCTTTCCGCTATCACTTTTACTGCTTTATCTTCGTCGTCATGGGAGGAAATGTTGCAAGTCGTTACACTCGTGCTAGGCGACTGCCGCGGAATGATCATGCTGCTGCTGCATTGGTAGTGGTGAAGAATTGACAAATCAGTTTTTAAATTGCACCGTGGCCCCTGAATCGTGACGGGTCATCAAATTACGGCGGGTGGGGAGCCACCGTTGCATATGTTGTCTTAATGGCATTATAAAGGAGAGGTAATAAGAACGGGAGAATAAAAAAGCAATGCGTGCAAGCGCATTGCAGCTACTACTGTGCTTTTTTTCTGTGGACGGCACCTGCATTATTGCTGAGCCAGGAACGGTGGGAGGGAGGCTCTTACGCAGCAAAGGGCTTGCGATTCCAGAGGTGTCCATAGAAGCAGCCCCACCCTGCCCGTTCTCACGCTGTGAATTATTAAAAGAGAAGACGACACCCCATCACCTCCTGCACCCACCCAGCCACCACTATCCCCTGGGAAACCTAGCCGGTGATCCACGCCTTAGTTTCACGCCATCGTCGCCACCGCGTTCCCTGCGAGCACTGGGTAAATGGACGGCGTTGTTTTTTCACGGAGACTTCCGCACTGATTATTTATTTATTCCACTGCTCGTCCATCGCACGCCAGCCCGGCGGAGGGGAATGCCGCCGCCGCTGTGGGCTCTGCTGCAGATTTGCGGGGAGGCGTCGCCGTTGTTTGGCGGTCCTGGCCGTCGAAAATTTATCATCAATTTTGCGGCGGCTCCGGTTGGGCTGGAAAAACCCCGTTTGTGCTTTTGAGGTTTAATTATTAGGGATCGTCCGAGCCTGAACCTTGGCGAGCGTCCGGCGACGATCGCCAGCCTGCGCGACTGACAGCTTATATCGGCTGCCGCGGCTCATCCTTCACGTCTTCTTGGCGCACCATGGAAGCCGATGGAGCGTTACGAGGCAGACGGACCTCGCGTTTGGGCGATGGTTTTTGCATCTTCTGTGCGGCCGACGAAGGACTCTGCGTTTCTGGAAATGTCGGCACGTCCATTGCCGCATCTGCGAAGATCAATAAAGAAGAGCGAGCGGGCTCTGCAGCATTGTGATTTGGATTTGGTTTATGTTCTGTTACGGACGTTGATTGCGGTCTTAGCATTTTAAATAATAATAGCCTACATTTTTTTTTTATCCGCTAAACGACCTGACTTGTCGTGGAATTGGCAAATCAACAATAGCAGCAGCAACAACATCAACATCTTGGGAACGAGATCAATTGAAAGGGGCGACCAAATCTATCGGCCACATGGTGCTGGGACGCTCGCTCTTCAGCATGGCCGTCGGGGCCCACGACGCCAGGGACGTGCAGGAGAGGGGGGCATCTCCGCTGGCTCTGGGGGGGGCATCTCCGCTGGCTCTGGGGGGGGCTCGGAGGGACAGCGCGGTGGGGGGCGTCCTGGGCAGGGTGCTTCGTACGCGGCACGGCATTTCCCGCAGCGCACCGCGCCTGCTGTGTATGCTCGAACCAGGTGCGTGTTGGTCTCGCTCCTTCACCCTCGGGATCGCTCCCTATCCACTGTGAATCATGACACGCATGCAGTGATATGTAATAATATATATAAAATACATGGCAGTGATTATTATCCCTTTGTTAACATGCTGCTGGATGAACGCCTGGCCAATGCCTTTCAGTCGTGTGACCATATCTCACCACGCAGTGCAGATTGATGAAGGCAGAGGACCCAACATCAGTTCTAATCCCTTGCCACTGATGTTAGCCGTGACCAGGAATCGCATTCAGGTTGCTGGATTCATAGCGCATTGCGCTACCTCCTGCGCCACCGCTTCAACATCATGAGTTGCATACTGTACTATATTTCCCATTCCCCCTCCTCCCCCTGTCAGAATGAGTACATTTTAAATTTAGATCCTCAGCAAACAAGTTCAATTAACATTTTATTTCTTATAAAAGAAGTAGTACACAGTCGTGCTTCACCTCGTGCATGCTGTGTGTGGCAGTGACCACGTGTCGGGTGAGTCGGAGCGGCACTGCCGAGATAATAAGTTCAAATCTGGGTCACCACCCTTGATTGATTCCGATGTTCAAGTGGAATGTGCTGGTCTCAATCCAGTTACTCGTGATCGCTTAAACATAAATTCACGTTGGGTTGTCACTCAAAACAGTTTATTCTAGCCGGGAGAATAAAACCCTCGATTTGATTGACGTGCAATGAACGGCTTTTTTTGATGGTATAAAAGTTGCGACTGTAAGGATACAGAGGTCTGTTGAAGTGAATTGAGAATGAATTCTTCTAGGACCATTCTTTAATGGAAGGTGGTGCACTGCTCACGGTGGGAAAACCAAATGTGTTCATCGTCCTCATCACGTGACACGGATAGAACAAATTGGAGTGTCTATTGGAGAAAACAAAAAATATATTGTGGAGCATATTTGAATGAACCCTTCGTAACTTGTGATTCATAATTAGGCAAACAGATGGTGCCTGTGGCTGAATTGAGATAACGTTTCATTTGTTGAGTAGTGGTCCTTCCAGAGCAATATATTTACAAGTCTCGTTGTGGCCTGTTTGACTCCTCTGCTTGGTGCCCTAGTGACCTGATTAGGGGCCCGGTTCAGCAGAATATGGAAAAATGTTCTAAATATTTGCGCAGATAATTAGTTAACATGGCAAAAAATGTGTATAATTGTCAATGATCAAAATATGTATTCACACGTTTTCGAATGTAAAATAAGTAATCCTTTGCTCCATTATTTATGAGAATAGTTAATTGTAAAATTTGAATTACCTTGGGTTAACGTTTATCTAAAGTGAATATTATTCAATGGCCACTGACATTCAGTAAACATGCAGTTTGAATTCATACAATAATTTGTTATATTGGATTGACACCCAGATCTTGGTATGGTCTGAGTGCTCGACTCACGATTGGCAGGGTCTAAGTTCAATTCTCAGGTTGTGGATCAACTCGGTCTATCGACCTTGTGGGGTAGTCAACAGTGGACCTCTTGTTAAGACAAAAACAAACCTGGTCCCTCCATGAGAATGTGGAATTCTCACCACTGGCTCAGGGACACGGTAGAGATGAGCATCGCTCCATCGCCAATCGAGCAGGCAGAGTGAACCGTACACATCTCTCGATATGATGTACTTCCTAAAACCCTTTAGACATGCTCTTGTTCTGTGGCCACAGTCGGGCAGTCTCATCCACCCAGCCTTATGCACACATTTAAGATGATGTTAAAGCAGGGGTCGGGAACCTATGGCTCGCGAGCCAGATGTGGCTCTTTTGATGATTGCATATGGCTCGCAGATAAAACAAAATATTCTCACTTGTTTTAATCCATCCATCGATTTTTCACTGCGCATGTCCTGTTCAGGGCTGCAGGAGCAATTGTCCATTATTTTAATTGGATGATACTGGCCTACGTTTGCCGTTGCTGGGTAAAACAGGTAAACGCCCCCTTTTGAATCAGTCTGAGACTGCGTCTGCTCGGTCATTAGCTCAAAGCTAACCCTTCGACGAAGAATATGGCGAAAAGAAAAAAAGACGACAAGTATCGTACATTTCAGGACGAATGGACCGAAGAATTCGCCTTTGTGGAGAGAGCGGGTTCTGCGGTGTGTCTAATTTGCAATGACAAAATTACATCGTTGAAACGGTCGAATGTAAAGCGGCACTTCGACACGCGCCACGCTACCTTTGCATCAAAATACCCTGCGGGAGACAGCAGAAAGAAAGCATGCCAAGAGCTTCTGAGCAGGGTGCAAGCTAGCCAGCAGCAACTCCGCGTATGGACCCGGCAAGGTGACTATAATTCGGCTAGCTTTGCTGGTTCTTTAGCAATAGTGAGGAACGGAAAACCATTCACAGATGGCGAGTATGCTAAAACGTTCATGCTGGATGTAGCCAATGAACTTTTTGATGATCTTCCGAACAAAGACAAGATAATCAAACGGATACAAGACATGCCTCTGTCGGCAAGAACTGTTCATGATCGTACCATCGTGATGGCAAACAAAGTGGAGGAAACGCAAGTGAAGGACATAAATGCAGCGCCGTTCTTTTCTCTGGCTTTGGATGAGTCAACAGACGTGAGCCATTTGTCGCAGTTCAGCGTGATTGCAAGATATGCTGTTGGTGACACACTGCGCGAAGAAAGTCTTGCTGTTCTGCCATTAAAAGGGTCCACAAGAGGTGAGGATTTATTCAAGTCTTTCATGGAGTTTGCTCAAGAAAAAAGTCTACCTATGGATAAACTTCTCTCAGTGTGTACTGATGGTGCTCCGTGTATGGTGGGGAAAAACAAAGGATTTGTGGCGCTTCTCCGTGAACATGAAAATAGACCCATCCTAAGTTTCCATTGCATTATACACCAGGAGGCACTTTGTGCTCAGATGTGTGACAGGCAGTTTGGCGAAGTGATGTCGCTGGTCATTCGTGTGATCAACTTTATTGTTGCCCGAGCCTTAAATGATCGCCAGTTTAAAACACTGCTGGATGAAGTTGTAAATAACTATCCTGGTCTGCTTTTGCACAGCAATGTGCGTTGGTTGTCAAGAGGGAAGGTGCTTAGCCGTTTTGCGGCTTGCCTGAACGAAATCCGGACTTTCCTTGAAATGAAAGGCGTCGGGCATCCTGAGCTAGCCGACACCGAGTGGCTCCTCAAGTTTTACTATCTCGTAGATCTGACTGAACATCTGAACCAGCTCAACGTGAAAATGCAAGGCATTGGAAATACAGTGTTATCCCTTCAACAAGCTGTATTTGCTTTTGAAAACAAGCTGGAGCTTTTCATCACGGATCTTGAAACAGGTCGTTTACTACATTTTGAAAAACTGAGCCAATTTAAAGATGCATGCACAGCAAGTGAGCCCATTCAAAACCTTGATCTCCACCAGCTAGCTGGCTGCACATCCAGTCTCCTACAGTCCTTCAAAGCACGCTTTGGAGAATTTCGTGAGCACACTCGTCTTTTTAAGTTCATCACCTATCCAAACGAGTGTTCACTGAACACAGCCGACCTGAATTACATCCCTGGTGTCTCCGTCAGAGATTTTGAAGCAGAAGTGGCTGACCTGAAGGCCTCAGACATGTGGGTGAATAAGTTCAAGTCACTGAATGAAGATTTGGAAAGAATCACACGACAGAAAGCGGAGTTGGCGAGCAAGCACATGTGGACAGAAATGAAAAAACTCCAACCCGAAGACCAGCTGATTCTCAAAACTTGGAACGCGCTTCCTGTCACATACCACACACTGCAGCGTGTGAGTATTGCTGTATTGACCATGTTTGGATCTACGTATGCATGTGAGCAGTCATTCTCACATCTTAAAAACATCAAGTCCAACCTACGATCACGTTTAACGGATGAAAGCCTCAACGCTTGCATGAAGCTTAACCTCACCAAGTACCAACCCGACTACAAAGACATCAGCAAATCCATGCAGCACCAGAAGTCGCATTAATGGTGAGTGTTATAACAACATTATTTAAAATAAATTCAGAGGCTTATTATACTGACATTTAGTTGAATTCACTTTTAAAATATATTATATGGCTCTCACTGAAATAAATTTCCAAATTTTTTGCTTTCATGGCTCTCTTAGTCAAAAAGGTTCCCGACCCCTGTGTTAAAGAGAAACCATTTTGTTTTTAAATAGCATTTGCATTCTTTCAATTAAATCGAAATTGTGTGTCATTGACGTCACGGCAATGAGACCGTGTTGACCCAGGAGGAACTGATGGAGAGCGTTATCTCGACTGGATGCTGACTCAGCGTCTGTTCAGTGTCCATAGCGACACGGCAGTGTGTGCCTGCAGCTCGGCTACACTGCGCTTTGTGCGATCACATTCGTGCCCTGCACAGGCAGTGTGGGGTGAACAGTGGGTAGCAGTACAACAAATAGGTCACTGGCTTGTCTTTGTGGAATTATTTTCTTCCACCCCACTTATATTAGCCGTGGCCAAGAATAAAACTCAGGTCATCGGGTCCATCACACAGTGTGGCATCTGTGATAACTAAGCAGTGTGCTGTAACGATGAACCACAGCGATATCCTGTAGTGGATATTCCAACACCCTGTATATTACTTGACGAGTGAACCGCTACCCCATCGGCTGTGTGGGGTCCGCGGCCGGGATGTCCGGCTCCGTGACGTGTCTCCAGGTTCTGCTGTGTGCTGCTCGGCGCGATGTTGTCCGTCGTTTCGCTCTCCGTGCCGGGAGCTTCTTCAGTTCCTCCACTTGCGTGGCAATCGTCGTAAGCAGGGAAGTGGCCATCGCAATAAGAACGTGGAATGTCCTCCACTGGCCCTGGACTGCCAACAAGAGATGGACACCACTTCGCTGCCCTACAGAGCAGGGAGACGCTGACTTCACCATTCACGATCACAACCCCATTGGTCGAGAGCAACTCATCCGACCACTCGCTCACATTTACACACGCTTCACTAAGATTATCTATCGGAGGTGAGAGGCGTAACGAGTGATGGCTCTGACCACTGCGTATGAATGGGGACAGCTTTACCAAGTGGTGGAGCAGTCCATTTGATCCACCCTTTCAGGGGGCAGGGCGGGGGTGCACGAGGCTGACTTCCCCAAGCTATAGCAGATGGTGCAGGCCATGTGGCTCTCAGGACACCCACTCAGCTTTAGAGACGACGCTAATCTCCCGGGCACAGTGCAAGCGTGCGGTGCTCGGTGTTCGGGTGACTTGATGCGCTAGTACAGCCGAGCGTCCAGCATGGATGAGCAAGGTAGGTGAACGCACATCTCAGAAGTACCGAGTCAAACCACTCGGGCACTGGGCAATGCTCCGTAGTGATGGGTGAATTGAGATGTTGGTGATGAATGTGATAGTGGTGACAATCATCGTCATTATGACGCTGGTGGTCGTGATATTGAGTGATGGATTTGATGATTATGATGATGATTGTCGTGTGGCTAAGTTACTGAAAATCCCTGTCTATATTTGCTGTCTAAATGCTAACACTAATATGTTATTAAAATTAGGCATTTTTCGGTATTATTATTTGTGATGATAAAATTGAGATGCATCCATGTGTGGTTTGCTTCTTCCATGATCCGGCAGGAAGAACAAGGCGCTGGTAACCTGATGCCATTGGTTGCATTTGTCAATGTCCAACTTTACTCCTCGAAAGCCACGACTTTAGCAAATAGTCAAGCGTTGTCCCCCTGGTCACCTAAGCGTGTGGTGGGCTTCCTCTCAGTTCGTGGCCCCGAGCCAGTGGGGGAACCATCCCTACATTTCTATGGGGTGACCGGTATCTCCGTAGGACATCCACAAAGTGGTCCTCATTATCCCTTGTTCCCAGAGAGATGGTGGCTGAGTCGACCCCTGAAATGGGATTTGAACTCTGATTTATGATTGTGAGCCGAGTGCTTCACTGAGAGCGCCACAGTCAGGTGAAGTTTAGATTTATGCTGCTCTAAATTGAATACTATTTTCTTTAGGACTGCTTTTTGTGTTTAGTTTGTTGTTCTTCCCCCGCACCTTCGATTAGCACAGTTGGCTACGTATGGTGCGAAAGAAGTTCAACATACTGTATATACATACATATTGCTGTCGTGTATGCAGAACCTTCAATATACTGTAGTGTGCTCCATTAATACATGTGCTGTGTGTGGTTTGTCTGTGTGTGTGTGACTCTGTTTCACACAGGCATTGACACTCGACTCAAGTTCACTGTGGCGCCGTCACCGGGAGCTGATGGCTTTCAGCAGGTGAGATGAAGGCAGCCGTGCTTCATGTTTCTGGAGGAGGTTGTCCACTTGGCTTTAAGAAGCTGCCATTCTAAGACGCCCAGCGATCTGTCGGCATGTGTTATGCAGAGCGCCTGCGAAAAAAGCAGGCTAATATCGATACAATTGTATATAAATATTATATATGAGAAATGTAATGTAAAAGACGGGGGATAAGATATGCTACTGAAGCCACTGAGAATCACAGTCAAATTGTGGAGCGCACACTCCAGTGGTACAGTAGTTTACTGTAGAGTACCAAACTGTCACTGCGTGGCGTTTCGGCGCAGCGGGGAGATGCAGATGACGACCGCTTATCGTCGCTTGTTTTGATTTCCAGGAATGTGGTTTAGAAGCAAAATAATACATTTCTTTGCTCAATTTGTCTGCGTCTTCTCAAGAAGTAACGGTTCTGTGCGGGACGAGGTATATCCACCTACCTTCTTTCGAGGACACGCCAAGTTGGGTCTGAGTGGCCGCAATGTGGCTTAGGGAGCTGCATTGTAATGCAGGATTTCAAACCGGCACCCGAACATTAGCCATGAGGCAGCAAGAACGTGCATTGCATACCTTGAGGCAGTGGTGGAAATTCCACATTCCTAATGGAAGGGGGCGGTCCGATCTTTTGAATAACCTCCTCAAACTTCCACAAAGTGGTACTCGTTTTTATCAAAGCTGGATGATTGGCTGAGTTGGCCCTCGACCAGGGTTTGAACTCGTTAAGCTTCTGATCGTGAGACAAGTGCTCACATCGCAGTGCCCTCTGATCAGATTCGTCTTCTTTGGGATTAAATACAATTATTTTTACATTTCAAAAGTTAGAGGTGCAGCCCTGAAATTTCTTCCTCATGCCACCGCTGACGGAAAGGCCTCCTCCGCTTGAGGAAACTCTGTTAGCACCACAAGAGGATATTTTACCTCCTATTTCACGCTGGCCACACATCTTTGAAGAGGTGGGAGTACCCACAATTTACCCCACCACACACGATCTGCCGATCCATTAGCTGTGGGGTGCTGATTGGTGGACAGAGGCTGGGAGCATTAAAAAAAAAACCTCCGCTGTGAGATCCAACCAGCGACCTCTGTGCTAACCATGACACTGCGACAGCATTATTTCCACATTTATTTAATGCAATTAATTTGCCGATTAATGCCCAACAATATCGCACTTGATTGGCATTTTCAATTAAGTTTTACCCAATCATGATTTAGAACGAGCATTGGGCAAACAAAGTAAAACGACGGGCAGCAGCCGTCACGGTTAAAATCTGTTGGGAGATGAGGGAATGCAATTAAATGTGACGGAGCGGTAAGTCCCATAGAGCCTCATCCCGATGCTGTTGGCAGCCCGGATGTGTTGCTGTGCTGTTGGACCGTTGCTGTGGTCATGGACCAGGGATTTGCTTTGTAAGTGCTGGGAGTGAAAGTTCGGTGTTCTGTTGTGGCCCGTGGGAACGTTTGTTTGTCCACTTGGGAAATACTGCCGTCCGTTGCTGGGGCCAACTAACATATGTTTACATGAACTGCAGGTGCTTCTTAATTACAGCACTTTCCACTATAAACGTGACAGCCAACGATGACGAATTAGATCTAATGAGCCTCCAATCGATGCATAATAATTATTTTAATAAGCGTGTGGTGATGCACCATGCCACCCTCCCCCACCAGACCTTGAGGGGATTGTGATGGCACAGGAAGGCTTGCAACCAGCAGTGGATGATGATGACGATGATTACGTTGACAGCGATGATTATGACGGTGATGTTAATGTTATTCACCTTGATATTGATGATGGTTACGATGATATCCATAATGTTGATGTTGAAAATGATACTCATGTTGAGGACGGTGGTGATGATTATGTTGATGTTATGATGATAGTGACGACGACGATGATGATTCAATGGAACGTTGTCCCGTGTCCCACAGTGGTACGATGCTCTCAAGGCAGTGGCCCGTCTACCTACTGGCATTTGCAAGGACTGGCGCAGGAGGGTGAGAGGCACTCCTACGCGTCTGGGCTCTGGGACCACGTTTGCTATTCGCGACCATCGCGCCCGTGCTGTGATTCCGACGCGGTTTGCGGTGGTTTCACAGCAGGGGGCGATTTTCCTGCCGTGTGAGCCCAACGGAATAATTTGCAGGTGTTTTTTTGAAATGTGGAAAATTTGGACCTTGATTTCGATGGACTCAACACATACGTTTGTTTAAATGTGGAAACACGGAACGGAGATCTGCTGGTGTGGTTCTCGAGTGTTTGTTGTTGTCTGGGCTGACTGCTAGTGGGTGAGATGCGGTGGTTCTGATCGGAAAGCTCTGTTACAGGTGTCTCACTCCAGCCCTGTTACTGGTGTGGCTCACTCTGGTCCTGTTATACAGGTGTGGCTCACTCTGGCTGACCAGTATCTGGAGAGCAACGCCATCGACTGGGAGAAGACGCTACGTTTCGCATTCAACGATCGCAGCAACCCCGACGATGAATCGATGGGCGCGCAGATTGTAAAGGTCCGGAACTCACTGTCTATTCAAGAAACAAGCGCTCACCCTCAACCCTCCTCTGGGACCTATTGGGAGCACCCATTTTCTTTTTCTGTTTTACTCCTGGCGAGATGACAGAAGAGATGTAGACCAAATATAAAGATGTAGGGAGATGAGAAAATGTATACAAAAGATTGAGCTGTAGGGAGATGAGAAAAGATATATGTAAATGAGACAGAAGTAGTGAAATGAGAGCAATGTAGACAAAAGACACAGATGGAGTTTAATGAGATGAGCTATACAGACGAGATAGGGATAGGAAAGACGAATTCGCATGTTATGTTTATTAGATTGTAATGTCCATCAGCCTTTTAACTCTAGCTAGCGTTTCATCCACCCTTGTATTTTCATGAATCCATGAACCCCCCCCCCCCATCCTAAACCGAGCTATTTGAGGCCCTGGGCATTTCCTTAATTTGTTCACGCCTAGCACGGCCACCCCCGCTGCTCCTGCTGCTGCCGCTCCTCCTGCTGCCACCCCTGCTGCGTCTGCCACTGCAGGACCTGCATCGCACGGGCTGCAGCGCGTACTGCGGGCGCGAGGCCGAGGGTGACCGCGTGGTGCTGAAGCGCGTGCTGCTCGCGTACGCTCGCTGGAACAAGGCCGTGGGCTACTGCCAGGGCTTCAACGTGCTGGCCGCACTCGTGCTGGAGGTCACCGAGGGGGACGAGGGCGAGGCGCTCAAGGTGCCCCCTACCACCACCACCACCACGGGCCTGAGCCTCCCTCGTCGTTACCGTGTTGTGGGTTTCACCCCTAGGGCTGGAGATGAGAGTTGGAGGAGGACACGTGACGTGACTCGCTCTCGTGGTGTTGTACAGGGATCTTGGTTCGCTTTGTTACGCACTGTAAGTACAGTACTGCTGGGAAACAGTGCTACCTACAGAAGGCCCCTAGGCTGAAGAAAGTCTTTAAAAAATCTGCAGAGGTATTATTGCTCACATGTCTATTTAGACTTTATCCAAATCCGGGAATATAGCCCTGGGCCAAGATAGGAATATGGAGCTGGCATGGGCCCCTCCCCTCTAGGGCCGTAGTCTCCTCGGCAGGTGCCGTCAGTTAGCGAACAATCAGCCTTTTGTCATTTATATTCAGAAAAAGAGGTAATAAAATCCTATGTTTATTTTGGCTCCAGCCATTGGAATGTGGAGTTTCCACTGCTGGACTTGAAATTAGACGCCAGTGATCTCAGCCAGTCGATCCATAGCACCTGGGTCTGTTAGTGAGCCTTCATCACGTTACGTGGCCTCAAGGTGCACCTAGCCTGGCACAAGCGCCGTGGTGACGTCACCGCCACTTGGTGGCGAATGTCAGTTGTTGTTGAGGTGTGTCCGCGTGTAACTTGTGTGAAGTGTCCCTGCTGAGCGGATGTCTCTCGGCTTCCTGCTTCCTGGCTGTGTTATCCTTCGGAGCTGATTTTAATGGTAATTTTGGCTTGGTGAGTTTCCACCATCTCCCACTGTACTGCCATGCCTACAGACAATGTGGGACCCGACTTGTATAATGTATGGATTGTAAGATCGCAATAAGGCAGCGAAATCTGCAACAGGTGAATCTACATGTTTTTTTTCCCTGCAATATAAACAACAACAAATCGTTTTGCCTGGTGATTGCCTTCTCAAGCACTTGGCAACACAATTTACCTTTAATATTTTTCTTTCCACACCTTTCTGTTTATCCCATTTTACCCAATTATAATTATCTGACTTTTCCCAGTTCCTACATTATCCCTGCACCTTCCTGCTTTGGTCACTCCCTCCATTGCTTCCCCTTTCACTACCACCCGCTTCTCTGCCACCCCATTGTCATGCCACCCTCTTCACCACCACCTCCTCCTTCGTTGATTTCGCTGCCCCACCCTCTTTCAGTGCTGCCACCTCCATCATCTCCCCCGCCCCCTTGTTCATCTCAGCCTTCCTTGCTTCCTCACTGCTGCCCCCTGTAGTTCCCGCCCCACTTGTGTTTCCACCACGGCTCCTGTGCTCACTCGGCGTGGCGTGTGCTGCCCCCTGGCTGCTGCTCCGCTGGTCAGGTGATGATTTACTTGATCGACAAGGTGCTGCCCGACAGCTATTTCGCCAACAACCTGCGCTCGTTGTCCGTGGAGATGGCCGTCTTCCGAGACCTGCTGCGTCTGCGTCTGCCCGACCTCTCGCTGCACCTGGACGGCCTGCAGCGTGCGGCTAACCGCGACACCGGAGGGACAGGTGGGGGTCACGTGGGGTGGTCGTGGTAGTATGTGGGGGCATCAGTAATTAATATCTAAACCGGTAGTTAAATTGGATGTATTAAGTGACTGAAACATCATAATATACAGCGGACCGTAGAGCTTGGCTGCTGCTTCCCACTGATCTGCTTCCTCGCACCTCTGAGTTGTTCTATCTCTTCAAGATTGTGCGAATATTGTGCGCGTTATAAGTTGAAATCATTATTAATATTACAAGAGCTTAGGGAAAATAGACAATGGGAGGGCATATCGAAGTGTAGGTGCTTCAGGAAATAACCAGAAGGAGAATGTGTTTGGATACGCAAGAAAAACCTTGACTGACGGAGCTTTCCTAACGGACTTCGTGTATGCGTGCGTGCAGGCAGCTACGAACCGCCGCTCACCAACGTGTTCACCATGCAGTGGTTCCTCACGCTGTTTGCCACGTGCCTGCCCAAGGCAGCCGTGCTGCGCATCTGGGACTCTCTCTTCTTCGAGGGTTCCGAGGTCATCCTGCGCGTGGCCCTCGCCATCTGGGCCAAGCTTGGAGAGTAAGCGATGGGCAGGCGAGGGGTCGCGGGGTCGTGGGGTCATCTCGGGATCCGGTGCCTCGCCGTGTTCAAGCCGCTACGGTACATGGAGGGCTCATATCGTCGTGTCTTGACAGAGACCTTTACAAAAAGGGGGTTTGGAACCTACGCCTTGTGGACTGGATATGGGCCCGAGCATCTTAGCTACACCGATTGGGTACTAGAGGGGAATATTTCTGACTTTGCAACCTTGGTTTTTCAAATTTTAGTGCCGTCAATGTAAGCCCTAACCATTGCTCACATTATTATTATTATTGGATTACGCTGGGGTTTGTGTGGCCCACCACCAAACATATTTGGAAGCCGTGTTTGGGCCTCGGTAAGGAAGCGGTTCCCCCACCCCCTGCGCGTGTGGTGCCCAGGCGGATCGAGCACTGCCGCAGTGCGGACGAGTTCTACAGCGCCATGGGCCAGCTCACGCAGGAGATGCTCGAGAAGAACCTCGTCGACTGCAAAGAGCTCATGCAGGTGGGGACGACGCTCGCGCCGGCGGCAGGGCGCCCACCTCTACACGCGGGGGGCCCGGAGCACTCCGCACTCGATAAAGCGGATCGCATCGGGACTCAAACGCGTTATTTAAAAGGGCGACCCCAGTGGCAGCTGTCCTTATGTGGCACAATGCGACTGCATCCGGTCTTGCAAGCGGGCAAGATTTCTCGAGTAGTGGGGCGATGACGTTTATAATTCTGAACGGATTCATTGTGTCGTTGGTGGGTGTTTGTTGAGAATGATCCACAAAGAGTCGATTTCTCAAAACTCATTCTGAGATCTCATTCCATGATCCTTTTAAGCAATCCACAGAATCGGGGGTGGTGCACTTTCTGTGCATAGCAGTCAAAACAATTAGTTGATTGATCTCTTCCGAATATAAGCCAATTTCTTCTGTATATCACTGACATGAACTTGTAGTCGACGGTTGATGAAGCGGTGCCATTGTCTCATAGGTGTCTCTGTATTGCTTCGCTCGATGTGACGAAGGTGGTTCTAACGTTGCTCCCGGTTGAACACCTGGCCCTGTCTCCGTCATACGCAGACGGTGTACTCCATGGCTCCGTTTCCGTTCCCCCAGCTGGTGGAGCTTCGAGAGAAGTACACCTACAACATCACGCCCTTCCAGGCCCACGTGAAGCCTCACGGCGCACACGGGTACGCTGCTACAGCACCGTGGCCGCGTGTCTGTGCACACACGTGTCTGTGCACACACGTGTCTGTGCACACACGTGTCTGTGCACACACGTGTCTGTGCACACACGTGTCTGTGCACACACGTGTCTGTGCACACACACGTGTCTGTGCACACACACGTGTGTGTGTGTGCAGTTGGAGCCACTACACTGTAACGCCGCACCATGGGGGCTCGCGAGGAATGGAGTTTGAGAAACACTGGCCGATAACATTTAATTGTTTTTTACCTTTGTGTGATGGGTGTGCGTGCTTGTGCATGGCTTCTTGTGTGGGCATGGGTCGCTCCTCTGCTGCCCCCCTCTACCCCATCGTCTGGAACTCCCTTCCCTCGGCCATCGGTGCTGTTGCCTTCCTGCCTCTATTCAAGTCTATGCTCATGGCCTTCTCGTTCACCTGGGCCTTTGCCGGAGTGCCTCTACAAAATAAACACGCCCATCGTTTCTGGATAGCATCTTGAGATGCTGTCACATTAGTTCATGGGCCAGAGCGGAAATTGCTCCCACCTAAGGTAGCAAATTCTTAAGTAGTATCGATGTGGCTAATAATAGTACATCATTTCTTAACTTTACTAATTTCAAATGGCTACCACATCGTTCACAAGCGGTGATGTGTCTGGGTCCGTGGCCTCATGGAGTCTCTCTGCCGATACACTTTGCGCGTGCGTTCTGGTGAGTGAAGCGTGCGTTGCGTTGCGGTTCGTGCAGCGTGCCGGTGCTGGGGAGCCGGGACCGCGACAGCGACGACGACCTGGAGCTGGAGGACGACGACACCGCCGCCGTCCCGGTCACCTGCCTGGGCCCCTTGGGGGGCCTCTGGCAGGTAGGGACACAGCGGCCGCACGTCCCGAGCCTCAGAGGTAGGGGCGATACCGCTCGAGCTGACGGCTGTGACGATGGTGACGATGGGGAGGGACGTGGCCGAGTGGCTGGCGGTGAGAGCCACTGCTGAGTGGCTCGGGCGGCGAGGTACAGGTCAGGAGTGAAATACTGAATTTCAGGTCGAATCCGATCAGCGTCTTGCTGTGGACTCGAGTGAGGCGGCTGCGAGTGTGAACACTCGCCATGACAAATTGGGGCACACCGGCTTGCATTTAAATTGCAGAGATGTTTTGATTACGGTACAGGGACCGTAGTCTTCACATCGGCCAAAAGCATCCCACAGTCCCGATTGGTTTAAGTGTACGAGAGGCCGCACTTCACGGGAAAGGCATGCAAACAACCGGGAATGCAGTGCATTCCAGCAGCATCCACTAAAGAGCTGTTGTCTACGGATGACTGTGTGGTGTCTCCACTCACACGAGCAGTGGGGTGGTGGTGTTCGTCTGTGAGTGATCCTGAGCCAGAAGTGGCATTCACAGTCCTCTGCTTGGTGCCAATATGTTTAGAGAACACCCACTGTTGACTTCCTAAAAAGCGGGAATGATTTTGTCGACCCAGGAAGGAGGAGCTGACTCAACCTCTGACCTCTTAGCCAATGCTATAAGCCACACTGACATCCAAACACCAAGATCCTCGGTTTGAATGACAAGCGAGTTGATAGGCAACATCTGGGCACTTGCCTATGAAAAATATGACTGTAGATCTCTTTATGATATTTTATCATTCTGGCAAGCATACAGTTACACTGGTGATGTGATGACGAGGTCGCTGATGAATATCACAGGGATGTGTATATTGGTCTTCAGGATAGTGAGATATTTTTTATTGAATTAGTTACAGTGATGAAGAGTGTTATGTAAATGATGATATTCATGAAATTATGCTCGTTATATTTATACTAAGATGAACCTGATAATGTATATGATTAGATATCATGTTGTATATGAGCCTGATGATTACATTTTATAACAATTAACGATGATCATGTGCATGACGTCACTGATGCAGATTAAAAAGATGATACTGACACTCGTTGATGGTGCCGACAATGGGAACGAATTACAATGCTGAGAGTGGAGATCACCTCAATGTTGACAATAACAGTGATGCTGACGATGCCGGTGGTGATGCTGACGACGACGATATTGACGACGATATTGACGATGATATTGACAATGACAGTGATGACGACGATGCTGACGATGATGGTTGTGATGACGATAATCCTGGTGGTGTGGACGACAACGATACTGACAATGACGGTGGTGGTGACGATGAAGGGTAGCGATGACGATGAAGGGTAGCGATAACGATGACGTCGATGCTGGCGATGCTGTAACGACTTCCCCTCCCTGTGACGTAGAACACGCCGGGGAGGAGGGCGGCGGTGGTGGTGGGGGCGGCCGTGGCCGCAGCGTAGCCGAGGCGAGCCCGGGGGCCGTGGGCTCGGGCCGCACGGCCGCACACGAGCACCAGGCAGCGCTCAACAGCATGATGATGGAGCGCATGAGCACCGACATCCAGGCTCTAACGCGCCAGTACGGGCGCATCCGTCACCGGCAGAGGCTGCAGACGCACCTGGTGTGCCCTCGTACAGGTGCGTCCTCCTCTACGTTGTCCGTCAGGTCGATCGTTTGACTCTTGGTCTGCCTGTCAACCTGGCCACCTGTCGGCATTTATACCTCTGTGTGCGTGCGTGTGCAGAGCCTAGTGGGGAGCGGTTAGCATGCCACACTACAAACCTGCCACCCGAGTTCGATTCCTGCTTAAGGCCAACACCAGTGACGATTATCTGAACCGGTCCTGGGCCTCCCCTAAATCGACTCGGCCTCAAAAGAGTACCTGGTCGGGTGTAAACATTGCCACTAGGGAGAGAAAAGCAGCCGGGCGTGGTGCTGGCAACCCCCACCCCCTCATGCGCCGTGCTGGCCTTCGTAGGCGCTCGCTAACAGCACTTGACCCAAAAGTTTGTTCAGGCTATAGGAGGGATCTTTGTCTTTGCAGAGCCTAGGCCCATGCTACTGTCGGGGCCCAGCATGGAGCCCCCACCTGTGCTCAACCACCTGATGCTGAGCAAGCAGCTGCAGCGCAAGGCCTGCGAGAGGAACTGCACGGTGGTGCGCGATGGGGTGGTGGAGTGCGCCACCGCCAAGCGCAGCACGGGCGGACGCAGCCGCAGGAGCAGCAGCGACAGCGCCCCAGGTGACGATGACCTCACGTGTCATGGGACTCTGCTAGGGCTCGTAATGGCCGTGTTTGCTTCAGGTGCCGGGGTCCCGAGCTCAAATCCTGGTCAATGTTGTTTTTGTTATGCTGGTCGTGGAGAGGTAAAGATATTCTATCCGTGTGTACAGTCACGCGTGTGTGTATTTTTGTACGTGGCCGTGTACGGATAGACCGGCCCCCACCATAGCAATATCGAATTTCCGCCGGGTGGCAAGATGTTAACTACCTCGCGTGGTATGCAGGAGGTCATGGGTTCGATCCCGACCCTGACGCCTGTATATTTTGAGTTTGCATGTCTCTCTTCCTGTGGGCGCATGGATTTTTCTCCGGGTCCTCCAGTTTTTCCCTCCACATTTGGGTGATATAAATTTCCACATGATGATAAGCCAGTTCGTTGAGCTATCATTTGTGGCCAGGTTGCTTCTGAAAAAGAGCTTTATAGCTCGGTGAGCCTTACCTGGTAAATTAAAAGTTTAGTTTAGAATACTGCTACACCCTTGTTTTATCAGGGAGGCAATTTGATGTTTGACTTATATACAGAACACCTCAGCAAGAGTGGAATCTTAGCCTAGATCTATTGGCAGAAATTCCACATTGTCATGGGTGCGAGGGGTGATGGGTGATGGGCGAGGGTGTGAGCAGTCTCTGCTTAGTCACCCATTGTTGACTATGCTCAAACTGGTACCAACTTTATATACCCCGGAGCAATAATAGGCCGAGTCAGCCCCTGGCCAGGATTGGAACTCGCGACCTTCCTAAACCGAGTCGGGCACCCTCATCTCCTTCACGTGCATGGGAGGTGTTGGCCAGGTGCTCGCTCGTGCTTTGGCGGTGAAGCCAAACAAACGGCACGTCTCCCCCCGTGCCGGCGCAGGCTCCCACTGCAAGCCGGACATCCCTGACGGAGCGGGCGAGCACGAACCCCCACCGCACGGTCGCAAGCCGCGCGGTGACACCCGCCCCGACGTCGGCTCCGGCTCCGACGCCGGCTCCGACGCCGGCTCCACCGGCACTTTGGGGAGCGCTGGGGACGAGGGACCCCACCGCTCCGACGGAGTGACCGGGGAGCCCTCCGAGGGCGGCTCCACCAGCACCGTCTCGCCGTCATCCAGTGGCTGCGGCGGCTACGGCATCGACGCTTCGGAGAAGCCGGCGAACCCGGACATTGCCCAGCCCAAGGAGCTCGCGTTGCGGCCGCGTGGACGCGGGGAGACTGCTTCGGACGGCTCGGGTGCGGCGAGTGCTGCGAGTGCAAAGGATGCTCGGTCTTCGGGTAAAAGCTCTGCGGCGGTGGCGGCGGCGGTCGCGGTCCCGGACGAGCGCCCCGTGGCGGAAGGAGGCATCTCGCGGCCCGTGTTCGGGGATGGAGACGAGAGGCGGCCCAAGTCCCGCACGAGTTCGACGTCGTCGGCCGCGAGTGCCCGCTCAGTGGAGTCGCGCGGCAGCTCGGACGCGAGCGAGGGGCGACCCGGCTCGGCGGCGGGGCCACGGGCGCCGGCGTTCAATCCGTTCCCCAGCGCCAAGACGCCGCGCAAGTCGGCGGCGGCAAAGAATCTGGGGCTGTACGGCTCGAGCGGCCGAACTGCCGTGCCGCAGATGTCTCGGCACAACGGACAAGCCAGCGGCAAGGCCGGCAGCTAGGACTTGATCAGAAATATATATATATATAATATTGAACGGCAAGATAAATGGTGACGATGTTTCCACACTCCAAACGAGTGGTTGGTGGTGACGTTCTCTTGTTTGGCAGTTTTGAGCCAACGATGGAAGTTCCTCAATCCTCCCGCGAGGGCCAGTCCCCATAGCGTCAGCGCCGTTGGTTCCCGTGAAATGGTACTCTATAAACCCAGAAAGGATGATGGGATGAATTGACGCTTGACCAGGGTTGTAACTGGCATCCTTTCAACGGCGAGTCACGGGTGCGTGTCTGTGTGTATCTCTGTGTTTCTGTGTGAAGATTGAGAGCAAGGCTCGATTGATATACACTTCAATCGATCTAATGTCACTCAATGTTTTCTCATGCTGCAATGTATATATACACATCTATCATGGTAATGATAATATTAATATATTGAGTAATAATGAAGCAGTGTCATTTCTAAATAATAGTGTATTCTAATAGTTGAATAACATTTTAAAAGTCCGTGTCTCCCTTCTCCAAAGAAGATTGGGGAGCACCCGCCTTCATTGGTGGTCCAAAGCCAGTGGTGGAAATCCCACATTCCTTTAGCGGAGGTCACAACCACTGTTGGCTTCCTCCAAAATGGTGAAAAAGTGTGCATATTTATGTAATCCAACTATCGTGTGAATTTTACACGAAGAAGACTGGATGGGTTATTTACAGTGCTTGTGGTAAAGTCGTGATGTGGTGGTGTTCGGCACCTTAGAACATCTATGACATTTGTCGCATTAAATCATGATAGCCCTACCACATCTCCCGGTGTTGGTAAAACAAAAAAAATATGGTTCCTAAAGCACAGCTGTCAACCCATACGGTTTACCCATATTCCTATACAAGGAAATTGAATTTTCAGGCCCATATGACGTACAGCCATTTCAATACGGAAATTTGTTTTTTATTTTGTCTATTTAGTTTGTGTTTCTCCCTTGTGATGGGACTTGGTAGGATGAACGTTGAGATTTATAAGGGCATGGGGTGACCAATAAGGTCTGAATTGTTCTGTAATAAGGTCGGGCACTGATAATGGGTTGACAGGTATGTTCAAATCGGGTCCCAGTAATCCCATAATACCACTGCCTCCAGTGTGTGAGTGTGAAGAAGAGTACTATTGTTTATCATGTACTCATGGATCATGTCTTAGGATTAAATTTTCCAAAAGTTATTCCTAAATGATTCAAAAAAGGAAAGAATCGTGGACAGTTTGTGTTTATTATGAAGATAGTAGCAACTAATTCAAATAGATGATGCTTGAATAGTCATAGGGTAAATCAGCCTATGATAATATGAAGTATGCATGGAATTAATAGAGAGTACTGTGCTCGACTGTGTTTTGGAAATGCCAAATACAGGATTAGGTTACACCGAGTCCTCGAATCTCTGGTCATCTGTAACTAGAAACCATAAAGTAAAACTATTCCAACACTTCGTGTCTTTCTACCTTGCCTACTCCTCAAGTAGAGGCTGCTGTGTTTTGTCCAAGTACGAGAGAAAATAAAAATGTAATATTACAAAAAATCTTGTTCATAGCAGAACCAAAGCCTTCAACGAAAATATTCGCATATCGTGGGATTTGTCATAATAAAGGCAATAAAAACATTTTGACTTAAGCTCCAATGGATAATTGTAAACACGAGGCCAACATTCTAAAATGACGCAACTCTCATTGCTGCTCGCGGTTGTGATGTTTTTCACATTTCAATGTCGTCATTCCAGTAATGGCCTAGTTAACGAGACATGGTCCTAGGCCCAGATGTAGAACAGAGGTTAATGCAACAATACCAAGCTGTGCATGTGAATTGAAACTTGCTGCTGTTAAGTTTATATATATAAAAATACAATTCAAAGATGATCTTTGTTGCTGCGTAAAACCTGTCCATAAGTGCGTGTATTGGCTCTCAGAGCCTGATTTTAGAGGCCTGTTTTGTTGCTGCAATTTGACTGACATTCTGTACAACATTGTACTGTCGTATGGCACTCATAAGACGAGAGGGACATGGATTGCATGATGCAGCGAACATCTTTCTCTTGAGCCCCTCTGCTTGATCCACACGCTTGTGTAGTTGTGCGGTGTTTAGCTTTCCTTGAGTAAGTCGGTGAAAGGACAAGTCAAATAATACCCTCCCCAGCTCTGTCATTGGCACTGCCGTACAACTAGCGGTGGACATAATCATACGACTTACTATTCATTAGAATACCACATACATCATTTAGGCATTCGGCCACATTTGAAGACGAACTATATTGTTTAACGTTTGTATTCAGTAGACTGGCACCCCTGTCACCATCTTATCATTTCAGTCTCTCTTGCTCTAAACATGACAAGCGGAACTCCTGAAATTCCGTCTCCAGGTGGGTTGAGACCTTTCTGGACAGGGGGGATCTATTGTTATGATCGCAAATGGTCCCAGGAGCATGTGTGTGGGTGCTTAATTAATTGGATGGGCCTGAAACAGGTCCCATGCTGCTAAGCTGTGTAATTTCACTAAATCAAATTATCGTTAAAAGTAACACAACTAATCTTGACTGAAAGCTTTCGTGATTGCAGGAATTCATATTCCTGTTTTTGTTGTTTTTTGTTAATTTCTTTGAACCTATCTACGTGACTTTACCGAAAGACCCAAATAACACAACTTGAATTGTTAATAATAAAGCGCATTGAGTTTAATTTTAACATAACCAAAACAATCAAGCATGGAATTACTGCACAGTATTGTAACCTGGGACGTTGTATTCCTATTACGATTCTGCTAAATGGTAACCGCTAAACCGGTAACCGTTTCCATTGGAATTGTATTTGGAATAGGTGGGCGCACCCACACCTTACCCCACCACCACCCGTGAGTCTGTAATGAAGCCCTCGTTGTTGTTGCTGGGGGGTCAGGGGTCAGTGATGAAGCTCAATTGTTGTTGCTGGGGGGTCAGGGGTCTGTGGTGAAGCCCAATTGTGTTGTTGTTGTTGCTGGGGGGTCAGGGGTCTGTGATGGAGCCCAATTATTGTTGTTGCTGGGGGGTCAGGGGTCTGTGGTGAAGCCCAATTGTTGTTGTTGCTGGGGGGTCAGGGGTCTGTGGTGAAGCCCTATTGTTGTTGTTGCTGGGGGGTCAGGGGTCTGTGATGAAGCCCAATTGTTGTTGTTGTTGCTGGGGGTCAGGGATCTGTGATGAAGCCCAGTTGTTGTTGTTGTTGTTGCTGGGGGGTCAGGGGTCTGTGATGAAGCCCAATTGTTGTTGTTGCTGGGGGGTCAGGGGTCTGTGATGAAGCCCAATTGTTGTTGTTGCTGGGGGGTCAGGGGTCTGTGGTGAAACCCAATTGTTGTTGTTGTTGTTGGGGGGTCAGGGATCTGTGATGAAGCCCAGTTGTTGCTGGGGGTCAGGGATCTGTGATGAAGCCCAGTTGTTGTTGCTGGGGGGTCAGGGGTCTGTGGTGAAGCCCAGTTGTTGTTGCTGCTGGGGGGGGCCGGGGGGTGGAGGAGATTTGAGACTCCGCCCCCCGCCCCCCCCGCGCCTCGGCACGAGGTGGCAGCGAAACGGCGTCCCCTTCCCCCTTCTCCTCCACCAAGGTCACACGCCTGGCCTGTTGTTGTTTACCTGGCCCGTTGTTCACCTGGCCCGTTATTGTTGTGTTCACCTGGCCCGTTCACCTGGCCCGTTGTTGTTCACCTGGCCCGTTCTTGTTGTTGTTCACCTGGCCCGTTTTTGTTGTTGTTGTTCACCTGGCCCGTTGCTCTGCTGGACGTTGATCTGTGTGCGAGCGAGTTTGTTCTAACCGGGGGGTACCCCCCACCCCCCCCCCCATGCGGCTATCGGACATGCTCAATGCGGATTTGAACAGCCCTGGGTCCTGTGGGTTGCGTGTTGGGCACAATTCTGACGGTAGAGGGCGGCAGCTCGCTACTGTGGCCCACAGTCGGGGTCCTCTGGGGTCCTCTGGGGCCCTCCTGGGGCAATGTGAGACGAAGCTCCGCTGCTGTCGCGATGCCGTCACGGTCAGCACACCGAACCCGCAACACCCACTCGCTCACGGGTCAACACCGGTGGCGATTATCTGAACCGGTCCTGGGTCTCCCCTGTCCAGACTCGGCCTCAATCGAGTGCCTGGTGCGGTGTGTAAACATCGCCACGAGGGAGACAAAGGCGGCCGGGCGTGGTGCTGGCCGCCCACCCCCCTCGTGTGTGCCGTACCGGCCTTCATATGTGCTACTCGCTCGCAGCACTTTCCACAAAATGATGTGAAGGCTATACGGGTTTTTTTTTGTTTTCTTTGGACAAGGCGAAGAAGCATGGGGGAGTTGGGATTTCACACGAGTCGTCATCCACGCATCGCAGACAATGGAGGGTGACCGCGCAAGGCCACAGCGGCGAAAGTTGCGCCCAAGCGTCGTTCGTTGTCCGATGCTGGACACGAGGCGCCGAAGTGGCATCGAGACTCGACACGCTGAAGTGGCATCGAGACTCGAGGCGCCGAAGTGGCATCGAGACTCGACACGCCGAAGTGGCATCGAGACTCGACACGCCGAAGTGGCATCGAGACTCGAGGCGCCGAAGTGGCATCGAGACTCGAGGCGCCGAAGAGGCATCGAGACTCGAGGAGCCGAAGTGGCATCGAGACTCGAGACGCCGAAGTGGCATCGAGACTCGAGGCGCCGAAGTGGCATCGAGACTCGAGGCGCCGAAGTGGCATCGAGACTCGAGGCGCCGAAGAGGCATCGAGACTCGAGACGCCGAAGTGGCATCGAGACTCGAGGAGCCGAAGTGGCATCGAGACTCGAGACGCCGAAGTGGCATCGAGACTCGAGGAGCCGAAGTGGCATCGAGACTCGAGGCGCCGAAGTGGCATCGAGACTCGAGGCGCCGAAGTGGCATCGAGACTCGACACGCCGAAGTGGCATCGAGACTCGAGACGCCGAAGTGGCATCGAGACTCGAGGCGCCGAAGTGGCATCGAGACTCGAGGCGCCGAAGTGGCATCGAGACTCGAGACGCCGAAGTGGCATCGAGACTCGAGGCGCCGAAGTGGCATCGAGACTCGAGGAGCCGAAGTGGCATCGAGGCTCGAGACGCCGAAGTGGCATCGAGACTCGAGGCGCCGAAGTGGCATCGAGGCTCGAGACGCCGAAGTGGCATCGAGACTCGAGGCGCCGAAGTGGCATCGAGACTCGAGACGCCGAAGTGGCATCGAGGCTCGAGGCGCCGAAGTGGCATCGAGGCTCGAGGCGCCGAAGTGGCATCGAGACTCGACACGCCGAAGTGGCATCGAGACTCGAGGCGCCGAAGTGGCATCGAGACTCGACACGCCGAAGTGGCATCGAGACTCGAGGAGCCGAAGTGGCATTGAGACTCGAGACGCCGAAGTGGCATCGAGACTCGAGGAGCCGAAGTGGCATCGAGACTCGAGGCGCCGAAGTGGCATCGAGACTCGAGGCGCCGAAGTGACATCGAGACTCGAGGCGCCGAAGTGACATCGAGACTCGAGGCGCCGAAGTGACATCGAGACTCGAGGCGCCGAAGTGACATCGAGACTCGAGACGCGCCTCTGCGCTGGCGTCTCTCGCGCCGTTTGCTGGCACGAACTCGAGCGAGTCACGTGGCGACATTTTTTTTCACGCCTCGCCACTGCTGATGGCACGATTTGGATATAATTGCTGATTAAACGAAAACACGTTTCTTTGAAGAAATGTCTAATTACAAAGTGTGTACACCCCCGTTGTGGACTGTACGTGTTGTGCGCGCTTAGTTTTCTCACAAAGGTACTGCCTATTTTCATTACACTCTGCTGCTATTCCTGACACCATCACCCATTGCCTTGAACGGTCTTCATGGCAGGATATGGCCCTGGGTTTATACACAGTAAGGATGTACTCGATGTCCCACTCAATGCACAATTATCACCATTACTGTTGAAAGTCTGGCTATGTAACATGCGGATACATACAAATATACATTGTTTTCTGTTAGTCCACTGCTGGATTAAGGCTGTGTCATGAAGGTTCGTTGACCATACTTCACCACTCTGGTGAGTGTGGGTTAGTGGTGAAGGGGAGCCCAGGGCCGGTGCATCACTCCACACTCGTGTCGCCCGTGGCCAGGAATCGGCTTTGTAGAGCAATGCACCAACACTGCACCGCCTCTCCACTTTGCTGTGCACACGGTCACGAAAACACGCCGCCAGCCTCCCTTCTCGAACGAGCCAGCGCTCATCTTAAACAATATTGAAGAACTAGCGGTGAGAGTTCCACAATTCTATGGCTGGGGCCAGTCCATCCACACAGACTAATGTTGGCTTCCATCAAAGAACCTTCTTTTCTGTACATTTTAGGGATGTTGGGTTTAGTCAGCCCCAAACCAGAATGTGATCTCGCAATTTTGTGATTGCGAGTCGAGCATTCGAACCACTCTGCCACCGGGCTCGAGGCTCCCACATTCTGTACATGTTCACGATTACTCTCACTGTGTGCTTGTGGGTGCATACATGCCATCTACAGTTCAGAGCTACGCACAGCAATGCAATCCAGTTTGTGACCACGCCTTTCATCAATTCGTCCATTACTGCAGTTTACAAAAGCATGTAATACTGTATTGAGATCTGGCTGACAGCATGTATCCACTGCTCCTCCACTCACATTAAATTGGAGCAAGCCCAACAGTGCACGCACCATGAGGAGTGTGGCGCTGTTAAATATGAACTAATGGGAAGGGCCGTTGCTATCGCACAGAGGAAACGTTCTCCCTCTGTTCGCTTTGCAAATCTGCTGGGAGTGGGAGGTAATGATCCTATTGCCTTACATTCCGAGGTGAAAGGAAAGTCAAAGACGTTGTGTTGTCACGGCTCCGGGGTTCAGTGCTCGCTAAAT